GGGTCATGCCATAAGAACTCATTGTTCTTGGGTTAAGGTAGTGATTAGGTTGCTTTCGGTTTCATTAGCTTCAACTCATGATGACCCAGGCACATTGGAATAAAACCTAATGTGGTCCTGAACCATCCCATGATTCATTGTGGATAGACTGGTGTGATCCAGGGGATCTCCACTGGCTGATTTTTGGGAAGTAGACTGCCAGGCCTTTCTTCTTAGTCTAGAAACGCCACTGAGACCTGTTCAGTGTCAGGGCCACGCGAACACCTCTACTGACAGATGGGTGGTGGATGTCCCTGAGGGGCATTGGCTGGAAACCAACCCTAGATCTTTCCTGCAGGGAAGGTGAGAATTCTACCAGTAACCCAGGATTTAGCTCAACCTAGATGACAACATCGTCAAAGACTATTCCCAAACAGGATCCCATTCACAAGTTAGGACTTGAACATATCTTTTTTTCAAGGGTACCATTCCATCCATCCCAGAAGCCACCAGTGTCGGCAGGAATGTGCGGTACCGGTAAGCAGACTTTTGCATTATGAAACAGCGAGTGAGAAAAACAAAGAGAACAACAACAACAACAACAACACACATGAAAGGGGCAGACAATTCAACTGCAACTCATTCTGGGTATTTTGGCAGCCACTAATAGAGGTGACCCAGTGGCTATACGTGACAGCAAGGTTTGGTGTACAGCCCCAACAGTGAGTAGTGGTCTCAACCATGGGGTACGCACCTTGTGCGCTAACAACAGCACCAGGGGCTCTGTGGCACATGAGCTGCGTTCAGGGGCTGATGAGCCAGGCCTGAGCCCTGGGGACGGTCGGCTCTGAAGTTAGCTCATGTCGTTGTTTGTTCTTGAAAACATGGGGATGGGCAACCAATCCTGTGTCTCTTGAGCTGTTCAGCTATTTCTTGGGATGGTCTCAAAGTATCCCTTATGGTAATGCGACTCGGAAGACTGGTTCCAAAGAGGGATTGGATTCAGCAGTAAATCACTCAAGGATCTGGCAGCTGGGAGCCCTCAGCAGACTCAAGCCGTGGGAATTTCCTGGCCCCTCCTGCTTGCCCTCAGTAGCTCCACCATTGTGAATTGTTTGCCAGTTCTTCGGACTCCCTCTTCGTCCTGGTTGCCACCGCTCCCACTTGACGCCATCCGACAGGAAAGACATGAGGCGTTGAGGTGGTTTTTACTTCTCCCTCAGGCCCTTGGTCTGTGTGTGTGTGTGTGTGTGAGTGTGTGTGTGTGTGTGTGTGTACGTAACACCGAGCAGAACTGCCTGCTCTATTTACACAGTGACTTCTCTGTTTCTCTTCCTCACTCTGCTTCTCTCTCTCTCTGCTCATCTGGTCCAGACTCCTGTTAGAGATGGGTAGGAAATGTAATTTTTGCATTTTTCACATGCTATCCATTTCAAAGGAGCTTGGGTGGCATGGTGGGTCACCCGTTGGGCTGCTAACTGCAAGGTCAGCAGTTCCAACCCAGCAGCCGTTCCTCTCAAAAAAGACGAGGCTTTCTACTCACATAAACAGTTCCAGTCTAGGAAACCCATAGGGGAAATTCTGCCCTGCCCTATAGGGTCACTATGAGTTGTAATTGACTCTATGGCAGTGAATTTGGTCTTTGGTTTGTTGAGCCTTTCAAACGCAAGTCCTGCCCGGGACCTTAGAGAGAGGACTGTGCTTGCGTAAGGAAGGCGCTGAGCCAGTGGTGGCTCTGGATGAGACTCTGTTCTCTGGGATTCCTGTACCAACACCTCGCTCTGTTCCTAAGGCAGCCTGGAGGGATGGTGTGAAAGGACACACAGGGACCCTCTGAGGCTCAGTGTCATTTGTGCACGAAGTCAAGTGGCTGTCGTGGGGAGTCATATAAGGAGGTGTTGAGCACAGGGTCTGACACACAATTGTGTCTGGCAAATGCCATTCACCTTAGTTCCCGGGCAGCGTAAACTGTTGGTGCTTGACTATGAATCATTAAGGCTGGCAGTTCAAACCCGCCCAGGAGCACTTTGAAAGAAAGCTCTGGCAATTGGTCCCTGAAAGGTCCCGGCCTTGGAAACCCTGTGGAGTCCAGTGTGCCTTTGCAACACGTGCCCCCTACCCCCACCCCCTGAGTCAGAATGGGCTCCACTGCAAGTGGATTGGTTGGTTGGTTGGTTGGATTACAGTCAGTAGTTCAACTCGGGTGGAAGAACAATTCCGAGTTGCACGGGAAGAGGGCTGGGGCAGAGCGGGCTGAGCGGGAGGTTGATGTCGCCGAGGACTGCATAGGACCCAGCCTAGGAGGTGTTTCGGGAGAGGGTATAGGGAAGCAGAAGGAAGGCCCTCCTCATGGAGCTCTGGGCGCACAACCATTGCTCACACACTTGGCTTCGTGATTTTGCCAAGCGGCTTCCATAAAGAGTAAACCAAACCTACTGGCCTTCAGTCAATTCCGACTCATAGCGACTGTAGAGGGCTGGGTGGACTGGCTCCTGTGGGTTTCTGAGACTGTACCCTTTACAGGAGTAGAAAGCCTCGTCTTTCTCCAGAGGAGCGGTTGGTGGTTTCGAACTGCTGACCTTGCGCGTAGCATCCCGACGCATAACTGCCACGAGACCAGGGCTCCTTTCCATAAAGATTGCAGCCAAGAGAACGCTATGGGGCCAAACTTTGTCACATGGGTTGCTGTGAGTTGAAAATTGTCTCCACAGCACCTCACAACAACTTTGTTTACTTTGGCCAGCCACGTGTCCACAGCCCTGGGTTCTGACCCAGCCCCTCAGCCGGGCCCGGGATCTCTAGCAAAGACACGGAGGACAGGGCTGGAGCTCTGAGCCAGGCTGAGGCGGTGGGATGAGCGATTGTAGCTTCCTTCAAGTGACTGGGCCAGGCAACGGTGCTCTCCCGGCAAGCATGTGCTATGTCAGGACACAGGCAACCGTACAGAGACAGTTCTTTGGGAGACAGGAGAAAAATGCACATGATCTTAAATTAAAAATATGTGAGGCTCCCAGGAGGCCTGGAGACGTGGAGGTGGTGGGATGGGAACGGATTGATGAGGTTCAATTGTGTTTTCTCTGCTCGGGCTTGGCTTGCGCCCTTGACAGGGAAACCAGTGGCTACGCTGGACGGGCAGTGGGTCAGGGCCAGAAGGAAGCCTCTCTCTGATGGACCTGGCCCCTGTGCCCTTTTGTGGTGGTCTCGGGGTCTGCTTTGCCAAGGGGAGCTCAGGGCACATGTTCCTTTGAGTCTTTCCTGGGTCCCCAAAGCCCCCTCTGGCACTGGTTCTACCTGTATGCGGCTGGAAAATGCAGGAGCTCAACATTTTAGCCCCTTTCTTCTCACATCATTTTACAAGTGGGGAAACCAAGTCCCAGGGAGGGGGAAAACACTATTTGAAGTCATGTGAGACCAGAAACCCTTGGTTCCATTTGCCCAGGGGGCCTCTGGCCTAAATCTCTACTGGGGGTAGGCTTAGGGCTTCTGGACACCTCTAAGGTCTACCCACACTCTGATCTTCTGGAACCTGACTGAGATGGGCCAGGCTGATGACCTGCCTGATAGTCTTCAATGGCTCCCGAGGCTTTCAGCAAAACAAACAAACAAACAAACAAGCCTTTTATCAGCTAGTTAAGGTCCTTCAGCATTTGGCCTTTGATCTCCTGTCTCCCATCACCCTCCAGCTATGCTGGGCTGTCCAGGGTCGCTCTTCGCTGCCTTTGCACATGCTGTTCTCATTCCTTGAACGCACTTCCCTGCTTGTTCATTAAGTGGCTCAGGCTCGCTCTGTGGCCTTCTCTGACCCCTCAGGCTCAGCCGTTCCTTCCTCTAAGCCCCCAGAGCCCTTGGTAATTCCTCTATTAGCACTTATGTCATTGACTTAGAATTATTTGTTTATGAGCCTCCTTTCCCCATGGGAGGAAACACGTCTTACATTTCTCCACCCCCCCCCCCCTCCCCCCCCCCCCCACCTCCAATGGTGCCTAGCAGAATACCTGACACACAACTGAGGCTTAGTAGCAAATGTCTGTGGAATGGATCACCGAAGGACCTGTTTGTCTCCAGATGTCCCCTGCCACTGTGCCTGCAATGTAACCCTTTGTGAGCCCTGCCTGGTTCCTGGCCCTCTTTGCCTGCATGCAGCTGGGGCCTGTCTTCTCTCTCCAACAGCAGGCCCTGCCCTGTCCAGACTCTGGGCCAATCACAGACGTAGCCTAGGGAGATTTAAAGGGCCAGGGAGGGGAGATGCAGGTGACTCAGCTTCCAAGAGCTTGGCTGCACAGGTTACGCCCCCCCTGGGAGTGCAGCGCTGGAGACTGGAGGGCTAGCTCAGGAGACAGGTGTCTTCTCAGGAGAGCCTCACCCTGGGACTCCAGCCCTTCTCAATAAGGCACTTGCCCTGGTCTAATGTTGAAGGCCCAGGATGTCCTCTCATTTGCTATGGCCAGCCCTCATCAGGCCATACACTTGCCCTGGGCACCTACAAGGGCCAGGACTGCAGTCTGCTGCCACTGCCAACCCGAGGGGGCAGGTCCACAGAGTGACCCTGACAGCATGGTCCGTGCTGGGACAGGGGTCTGAAGGGGCTGTGGGTCCCAGGGCAAGGATGGCAAAGCAGCCTCAGGGGTGATGGCTCGGCTGAGGTTGAAAGGGGAAGGAAGAAGTTGGGGTGGGACTGTAGACATCTCCTTCCGTTCAGAGACCCAGAGCCCTCAGCCACATCGCTGGGCTGCTTGTCCCTGTCCTGGGAGCCTGGTCTTGGAGAAGGGACTGGAGGGTGAGGGGGCAGAGCTGCCCTTTCGCACTGGGTTCTCAAACCCAGCCATGCCCTCCCCGCCCCCACAGGGCCCTCAGGTACTTGTGGACCCAGCCAACACTAAGTGTCAGGGGCTGGGCTGGGAATGCGGAGTCCACCTAGTGGGCTCCAAGGCTCAACCCTGCCCAAAAGGGGCTCAGAGTTCTAGTAAACCATCAAACAAAGCCATAGAAATGAGATAGGAGAACATAGGCCAAGATGCGCAATGGCTGGGGTCCCTGAGCCAGTAGGAACGGTGGGAGGGAATCGTGTCAGGGAGGGCAGTCTATAGCCCATCCCAGGCAGCACTCATTGCACCTCATGCTGTCCTGGAAGCTTCCCGGTCTCTGAGGAGGACAGAGGACTGTCATCCAACCGCTTTGAGCCACCAGCCCAGCGAGCGGTTTTCAAGTGGGAGGCAGCCTGGACCAAGAGCTTTGGCATCCATCGCTGGGGGACTGCACGGCCTTGGGCTAGCAGTGATCCTGCCTCCCCGGACTTCTGCTTGCCCATCTGTTAAATGGGCATAACGCCCTGTGCTGCAGTGGGAACAGGGAAGAAGAGCGTTGAAAACAGCAGGTGCAATTGATGTATGGGTTGTGATAAGTTGGATGAGCCCCCAATAAAATGATGCCCTGGGTTCTGACCCAGCCCCTCAGCCGGGCC